CGGCCTTTAAGGCTGCAGACCCTGAATTGGGATACAGCCTCTGTCAGCTCCACATGTGCACAAGGTAAGTAGCAGCCAGGTGCTCCTAATCAATGCACCTGATTAACTGATCACGAGCAGGTTTGAGCGCCTCTATAAAAGTGACAAATTTGCTGGTCTGGAGAATTCAGGTGTGTGTTAACAAAACAATCTTCTCAGGAGTTCAAGATCACGCCATGCTGTTCTCAAAGAACGCGCACACAATCCAAAGAGCTTCATTTTACACTCTACAGGTCTCAGCATGTTAAAGGTTAAAGTTCATGACAATTAGAAGATTGAACAAGAATCAGTTGTTTGGAAGCGTTTCCAGGAGGAAGGTGCGTCTAAAAAACATGGAACAAAAACATCTGGAGCGATGTTCTTTGGACTGAGGAAATAAAACACTAACACAGCCAAACAATAACACTTTTAAGTTATATAAGTGACTTATATATCATGCTTAACCTGAGTAGAGAAAGACTGCAGGGGTCTAAAAACGATGGAGTGCGCTGTTCTCACGGCTCTAGTGAGGCTTGAATCCCCGGCTCGCTGTCGAGCTGGTGGCTAACAGACGAAAACGTCGGAGCGCTTTTGCAAATATGTGATATCCTGATAAACTGAGCAGATATTTGAAGTTTACATTCTACAAGTTTATTTTGTGACCCAGAAAGATTAATACGAGTAATATTTAAACGAATTAGCTGCCGCCATTGTTGGAAACTGGAACTGGCTGTCTTATGAATTCTGGGATAGGTTGGGTCATGAAGGATACACCCGACCCATCCTTTAAATCTGGGGAAATGAAGGAGGCATTTGTCTGCCACGTTTGGAGCAGCCTTCGTCGCCTGGCTGTGACGTAATTGGCTGACAAATGCGGCCTCCGAAGGATGCGGCCTAGGAATTGGGACATACCTATTGAGACTGCCAGCATGGCTGGGGAGGGGTGATGATTTGAGCAGTGGACCCCTCTGTACATTAAAGTATTGTAGAGTCAGGAGGTCGTGTGGCTGACAGCTAAACGCTGGCTAAAAGTAAGTCATGCAACGGTCCAATGATCCCAAGCTGAGCTGCAAATCTCCAAGAAAATGCACCAAAGTCCTGATTGTAATGTGACACCTCAGGAGAGCTGTGCATAAACAAATGCTGCAAAAACCAGTGAAGTGACGCCATAAAGAAGAGCGTGGAAGACTGATAACATCATGCAGAAGTTACTGCAGCTGGAGGAGCATCCACAAAGCACTGCATCACGGGTGTAGTTCTTCACAGGACTGCAGACAGTCTGGGTTGGACGACGGGTTCTCTGCAGCCTTAAACAGGCCTTAGAGGAGCTGAACTCTAAGCTGCATCGTGTTACTGTATCACCACCTCTGCTTCAGCATGCAGTCATTTATAAACGAGTTACAGTTACAGCCTCATTCTGTGATTTAAGATGAGATTAGCGTCAACGCGTCAACCCGAGCAGCTTTAAACTGCCCACAGAGCTCGTGTAATGCAATCGCGTAATCTCGTTAGGTCTTACCGGGGCACCTGCCCAGGTGTTTGACATCGATCTGCTCCTGCTTCATGCACGAGGCCTCTCGGACCAGGCAGGGGTTGTTGTAGGAGTTTCCGTCAGTGGCGCACACCGGGTTTTCATTGTGACCGCTGCAGTCGATGTTACATATGCACCTGAAGGGAGGAGAGGAGTCGAGTCAGGAGAATAAATGTTGTGTCTTCAGTCTGAACGCGTCTCTGCCACACAATCATTAACCGAAGTGCGTTTAGAGGAACGAAGACGCTGCTCATTAGTCCTCCACAGACCGGCTGCAGATACAAAGAACTAATTTCAATCCCTTTCAAGAACTCCTTCACTCGTGATTAATGGTTTCAAATTTACTCCCAGAGTTCAATGCTGGGACCTGAAAAAAAGAACTTTTTGACTCTTATTTCAGTCGATTTATAGTCTTGTTTCGCTACGCTTAATAAGTCAAGTCGAGTTCATTTACGTAGCCCAACATGCCTGGAAGGGTCTTGCAATCGATACAGAATAAAAAGCCTGTTGTCCTTAATCAGATCAGAATATCTCCCTTAAAAAACAACTTGTAGGTAAAAA